GGCCGGGGTCCCCCCCCCCCCCCTCCACCCCCCCCACCCCCGGGGGGGGGGGGGGCTGGGGGAAGGGAGGAAGAGATTTAGGGTAGGGGGCGGGGAGAGAAGCCGGGAGGAGCTGCAGGTACTGAGCGAGACTTGTTTTGGGGACGTGATGATGACTACTGAAGACGCTAGCATACGTGTGTTTAAATATGCTCAGACAAATGATGCTGAGTGTTTTCACCATAAAGAAAAACAGAAGTTGGAGGGAGGCCGGGACAAGGTCTTGAGTTCTAGCCCCAGGATTTTGGGAAAAAAGTGGTTTGAGGGGCCGATGACATTGCACAGTGTACATATCTAGTGAATCTCCGCTTGGCTTCTCAGTAATATGCTTAATTTTTATTCATTGTTTAAATTATTTCAAATAAAATACATAGCTTTTTGTCATTTATTTTTTGATCTGATTAATTTTATTTATTTTTGGCTTCTTCTGAGAAACAGTCCTATCAAAAATGTATTTTTAAATAAAGCTTTTCTTACAGTAAGTAACTATCACATGTATAGTACAAAAAACCCTTAGGGATTCTGGGATGGCAGGTGGGAACCACATGGTGCCTCAAAGAATCAAGTAGAAAGATCCTTGTAAAGTGTCTCAGAAGACAACATGCCTTCAGATAAAGGTTTCTTGTCCCTTCCTGGATTGAAGGACAAAGAGAAACTGACCAGAAAGAACCAAGGCCTGTGGGCTTTTTAAAACCCCATGAGGAGGGCAAGCTCCCGGACTTTCAGACTCTCATAGCCTTGGGCATTACTCACTCAGGGATGGAGAAGTATCAGAAGGCTTTGGGGCAGAGGGTGAGGGAGTGTGGTCCTGCACTCCTGTGAGTCCGGGGTCCTCTCCATCTGGGCCACTTGCCTAGGAATTGGGGATTAGCCCTGTTACCCTCCTCCTACCCTGTACCCCACTCCTACCGTGGAAAGGCCTGCTTTAAGCAACTGAATTTAAACAATGGTTTACCATAAACTTAGTAGTCTGCACTGTGAAATGCATGCTGGCCATGATAGTCAGTGTTCTTGCAATGCCAGCAGCCTGGTTGGCACCCTGTGACGGGCTCCAGAGCTGGGTGCATCTGTTCAGAGGCTCTAAAGTTCTTGCTGCCCCTCTTGCCTCTTGTAAGTGAATTTGGCCATAATAAGGGCTCCTTGGTGTGTATGTTCTTCTAGCCTAAAGCCACTCCCTGTGGAGGTTCGAGGGTTTGTCAACAAGGGTTGAGGTGGAGAGTTAGTTCAAGGGATGGCTACAGCTTCCTGGAAGTGGGAGTTCCATAACCGTCAACAATAATGCTGGTATTACAGAGTCAAGCGGGAGAGCAGGGAGAGGCAGATGCATCCCTCATCAGCGTAGCTTCTCACAGTCTCTTCTCTCTGCAGGTATGTGTACATCCCACTGGGTGGGTCCCAGCGTGGCCTGTTGGGGACACTGTTTTCTACTGCGATGACATTTGCATTTGTGAGCTACTGGCACGGCAGCTATGAGGACCTCTGGTGCTGGGCAGCGCTCAACTGGCTGGGAGTCACTGTGGAGAGTGGGGTCCGGAGGCTGCTAGAGACACCCCGTGTCCAAGAGACTTTGGTGAGCATGATCCGTCATTGCCTGTGTGGTAGGGGACAGCTGAGCAAGGAGGGACTGGTTTGGGAGGGGTGGTCATCAGATTCGCTCAGATGTGAACTGTTCTTGCCAGACAATTTCAGAGTGGATGCCTGGGGGTGAGGTGGGAGAGGCTTCAAAATCAATCATTGTATAAATGAATGGTTGGTTGGATAGATGAATGAATATTGTAATCATAAAAGCCTTTGTGTTGAGCTGTGACATGGGTGTGCGGGCATGGGTCCTGTTGGATCAAATTATGAGTCACTCATCTGACATGGCTCAGGGAGGCAGAGGCACGGGTATTTGAATGTGCTTACTCCATGTCGCATCAGGTGGACGTTGGGCTATGGGAATCTGCTGGGCTCTGCTCCAGGGGGTGAGAGTACACAGCAGGGAGCCAGAGCTCTTGGGTTGGAGGTCCCTGGGCCAAGGTAGCCCAAACCAACTCGTCTCAGACTTTGGGCTATCACGCACCGCTGAGAGGCCAGGAGGTTAGAAGGTAGCTCGGTAATTAAAGACCTTCTCCACGGTTCCCCACATGTGGTCCCCAAAGAAGAGAGGTAGTCCAGGTCTTAAGATATGGTCTTAAGATATTTATTGTCATGGCAGAAAATGGATGAAGCTATACTCTGTGTTCTCATGGTGGGCCTGAGGTTAAATACCTTTTGCAAGAATGAGGGTCTGGGAAGGAATGCTTAATTGGCTATGCCCTCTGGCCTTTAGGTATCTCATGAATATGGAAATGTCTTGAGGCTCTGTGGCCTGTAGTCACATCCTCTACCTGTGCTACGTGACTGATGGCCACAAACCTCTCTGTTGGAGGGGCTGTAGTTATGTGAAAGCAATCAGGGCCTAGGAGCAAGGCCGAACTCCTCCTGTCCCTGGAGGGTCTCTGGGGTTCAAGGCCTACTCGACCAAGTATCCAGCTGCCTCTCACAGCCCCACACCTAGGCACTTATTATAGAAAAATTATAAAATTCAGATGAGTAAGTTAACAAAATTCACATCAAAGCTCATACTTCTAAGTATGTTGTGTTGTATGTGCACACTCAGCCTAATCGTTTACAGCAAGAGTGATGGTGAGCTAGGGTGGCGTTCCAGCCCCTCCGAGCCAGCAGGTCTGTGTCAGACGGCCTAGTAAACTCATGATATAATTAGTCTATTCCTAATCATTTTATTATGTTATATTGATGTAGATATTGTAATCAAGAAGAGTTCTCCTGAGTAGGGCTGTCAGGTTAAGGGTTTTTACATGTTCACAGCTGACTCTGCACACTGTACATCAGCTCCTACTGCCCTATGGAGGAGGCAGCAAGTCCCATCCTCCCAGCTACTCCCATCCTCCCAGCTACTCCCACCCTCCCAGATGCTCCTATCCTCCCAGATGCTCCCATCCTCACAGATATCCCCCATCCTCACAGATGCCCTCATCCTCCCAGATGCCCCCATCCTCCCAGATGCCCCCATCCTCCCAGATGCCCCCCATTCTCCCAAACATCCCCCATCCTCCCAGATGCCCCCCATCCTCCCAGATGCCCCCATCCTTCCAGGTGCCCCCATCCTCCCAGGTGCCCCCATCCTCCCAGGTGCCCCCATCCTCCCAGATGTCTCCCATCCTCCCAGATGCCCCCATCCTCCCAGATGTCCCCCATCCTCCCAGATGCCCCCATCCTCCCAGATGCCCCCATCCTCCCAGATGTCTCCCATCCTCCCAGATGCCCCCATCCTCCCAGATGTCCCCCATCCTCCCAGATGCCCCCATCCTCCCAGATGCCCCCATCCTCCCAGATGTCTCCCATCCTCCCAGATGCCCCCATCCTCCCAGATGTCCCCCATCCTCCCAGATGCCCCCATCCTCACAGAGGCCCTTGCCCATCCTGAGGGATGCTGCACTTGCCTGTCCCGAGTGATGCTGGTATTTTAGCTTTTGATAGAAGCTATTTGTTGCACTAGCATAGAAGACAGCTAAGGTGCAAAACCGCATTCTGTGTCTATAGATATGACTGGGATATTAATTGAACACTTCCCTTCATAGACATCTTAAACACTACACGTATATTTTTGCCTTGTAAATGTGGCAGCTGACACATGAGGATCTCATAGGAAATCAGTGTTTTTGAATATGAACAGTGTTCTGCCAACCCAAAGAATGACCCGGCAGGAAATGTGTCAGTGTCTGCTCTCGTGTTAGGCTGTAAAACACAAAAGAGATTTCACTGGAATAAAACTGATTAATGTGGATAAATTCTACCCAGTGCATGAGACTAAAGCGAATACATTTTAAAAATCATCGAGATGGAACAAATGCATTGAGCATGTTTCGATAAAGATAGCCACGATACTGTAGGGCAGTTATCTCAATAAAAACAGGCAAGCACACAGCAAAGCAACACATCGGGAGGAATTAAGTATGCTAATGAATATGTAAAGACAAGCATTAGGGATTGGAGAGATGGCTTAGTGATTGAGAGCACTTTTTGCTCTTCCGAAAGACCTCAGTTTGGTTCTCAGCGTCCACATGAATGCTTCCAACCATCTACAACTTCAGTTCCAGGGGATCTGTCGCCACCTTCTGGTTTCTTAGGGTACTTCACCCATATGCACAGACATACACAGACACATAATTAAAATTAAAATAAATCTTTTTTTAAAAAGATAAAAATTTTATTCATTAGTGGTGCCCAGCATCCAGAAGGCAAGAAGTGTCTATCAAGTCTAGGGCAAACAGTGAAAATGATGGTGATGTCATGCTGAACAAGATGTAGGAAGAGGTATCTTAAGGGTGTCTGCTTTCTCAAGACTAAACGTTCTTTCCCAAAGCCCAAAAGCCAGTGATCACCCCCAAAATCCAGAGGCTTTTTTCCTGCTCAGTGTCAGGCACTGTATTTCCACTTGAACAGAACATGGAGTGTACCATGGACTCTGAGTCATGGACTGATGAATCTGAACTAACTATTCAGTAACCCCACTGCGACTTAGCGCAGATTAAATCAGGTTAGGAATAAACCAAACAGGAAAGCTCGCTCACCAGAAGTTCTTGAATGCAGGATCTGCCACACTGTAGGGTAATGACCCCAAGTCCTTTGTGTGCTTGGCACATTTGACATTACACCCACAATTCAGGCATCCAGATGTACAATAACTTTATATACATTTTGGTGAAATAATTCATTACAAATATATCCAATTTACATATTTTTAATGTAGTTTATAAATATATATCAATATATCAATATATCTATGTCTATGTGTTTATACACACACACACACACACACACACACACACACACACACACACACACATATATATCAGCTGTTGTTTGTCCCAGAAACCTGGGTGGTTTGTTTTAATTTTCTCATCATTGGGACATAAGCACCTTGGTGAAGGAAGGCTGATTTTATATCACAGTTTAGGGATCCACCCTGGAGGTCAAGGCGTGGCAACAGGAGCAGCTGGTCACATTGCATCTGCTGCCTGGAAGCTGTTTTTCTCATCTTCCATAGTGGAGTCTCTGAGAGCTTCCTGAGGTGATAGAAATGGCCTCTAGACTAACACATGAGTCACAGATGCACAAGGCACTACAAATACGGCTGATGCCGCTGAGACACCGAATTAAGATTCTTTAAAATTGTTTTGTTACTTTATGTATATGGGTGGTTTTTTTGTTTTTGTTTTTGTTTTGTTTTGTTTTTTTGCCTTGTCTTAGGGTTTCTATTGCTATGATGAAACACCATGACCAAAGAGCAAGTCGGGGAGGAAAGGGTTTACTCAGCTTATACTTATATATTGCTGTTCATCATTAAAGGAAGTCAGGACAGGAACTCATGCAGGGCAGGAACCTGGAGGCAGGAGCTGGTGCAGAGGCCATGGAGGAGTACAGCTTATTGGCTAGCACTCCATGGCTTTGCTCAGCCTGCCTTCTTATAGAACACAGGGCCACCAGCCCAGAAGTGACACCACCACAATGGACTGGGCCCTCGCCCATCAATCACTAATTAAGAAAGTGCTCTACAGCTGCATCTTACGGAGGCATTTTCTCAACTAAAGTTCCCTCCTTTCAGATAACTCTAGCTTGTGTCAAGTTGACCTAAGGCTAGCCAGCCCATGCCTGCATGTATGTTTCTGTACCACATGCATGGATGGTGCCCACAGATGCCAGAGAAGGGCATTGGATCACTCAGGACTGGCTACAGGTGGTTTTGAGCTGCCACGTGGGTGTGCTGGGAATTGCATCCAGGCCCTTTGAAGGGGCAGCTAGGGTTCTTAACTGTTGAGCCTTCTCTCTAACCTGCTTATTTAATTTCCATCTAGATAGCTTAATTATGGATTCCGGTCATCATCTTGAATAGTACTGTTCCAGAACTTTTCGCAAAACATTTTTTAAAAAGCATATTTGGACTGTGATGCTTTAATCTTTGTCTTATTTTATATGGATGGGTGGTTTCCCTGTGTATGTGTCTGTGTACCACACTGCAGGCAGTACTAGAAAGTGGCATCAGATCCTCCGGGATTGGTGGGTGTGAGCTGTCACAGGAATTACACAGTTCTCTGGAAGGACAGCAAGTGGTCTTAACCACTGAACCATCTCTCCAGCCCAGCCCTCCTGTAACCTAAAACCGTCTTCATTACTGGTGCCCTGCCTCATGGATTCAGCTGGCCACTGAACCTCTTTTTTGACTCCCTCGTAGCTGTCTTGACTCTGAACCCGTGTTTCCTCATCTTCAGATGTGTGTTCTATTCTAATGAGACCATCATTTCTCAGGTTATTCAAAGCCGAAACCGTTAGCTTTTCCTTCTCCAGCATGCACTATTTCCCCTGCCTTCTGACTTGATCTTGAAGTTTTCCCAGTCACTGTGTAGCCACTGGAACCTTCCAGATCCATGCTGCTTTCAGTTTGTGCCTGGTAACCAGACAGCAGCGGATTAGTAGCTCTTCTTCCATTCTTACTCCTGACCCTCCTCGTGCCTAGTGATGTTTCCT